TATATATATATATATATATATATTTATTCATATAACTTAGTATACATTTAATTATATATAATTAACATTTAACATGTAAAATGCACAAATTAAAATGCTAATATAACTACTCAATTTTCAACTACATATTAATCACTATTTTATGAAAGCATTTTAACTTCTAATATCCTTAATTTTTATTTTATTTTTAAATATTCAATTTTTTATTTTAAATAAACATATAGAAACACGAAGTTTCTCTTTCCTTTTGATATCATTAATGATAATAGTTTTTCTTGATTTTAATAATTTTTCATCAATAATAAATAAACTACATCTTTAATATAGTCCTTTTCATAATAACAAAGTATTTATTTTTAATAATAAATACAAATTTTTTAATTTTTATGAAAAAATATTTAAAGTTAAAATATCATCCAAGGCACCGAAAATTCGATGTGCATTAAAATATTGTCTCCTTCAATTCGCGTAAGGAGGAAGCTACCTGTCCGAGAGTTGGTTTTTTACAATACTAGAGAGACAATGCAAGAAAAGTGTTTTGGTTAGCGAAGTTGTCAAATAGACACAACATATATAATAATGAATAAATAAGTTAATAAATAAATATAATTTTGGAGTAATTAAGGAAATAATTTTAAAAATTGGACTAGTCATCAAATCATTTATAGTGCTGAGTTAGTGGATCAAAGGTTGAATTGGTAAGTTACTAATTGAATATATTTTATTATTTTTTTAAAAAATATTCATGTTAAATATATTTTATATTTATAAATTTCAATAAATTCATATTCTATTTTAAATTTCAATTTTCATCTTATTTAAAATTATCTTTATTATTATTTTATATAAAGAAATACATAAAAAAATTACATGTTAAATTGTATATTAATACAAATTAAAAATATAAATAATATATACATATATAATATACTTGCAATTGATATCACAAAATAATATGTGTAATATTTACATAGATATTATATTATTAAATATATAATTTAAAATTAATGGTATGTTATAAAAGTTATTTAAGTTGTATATATTATAAATAAATACATTAGAACAAGTAATTATTGTTATGTTTGATAAGACTCTTTGTTCTTCCATTAAAAGGATTCAACACCCATTGTTATTTTTGAGGTTTGTAATCCCTTAAAAAAAGTATAAAAAAATTGTGGTTGAACTGGTTTGACCTATTTGTTTACTGGTTAAACCGGAAAATTGATCGATTGACTCCAATTTAAAACGAATCAAATACATAACCTATTTAACTTAAGACTCGAACCAATTAGACCACTAATTCCCAATTTAACCGATCTGACACATCAATCCGAATCAATTTTTAAAACTCTGAGTAAGAATATCAAAAGAAGCTAACAAAACCATAGAATATTAAGTTAACAAGATATCACGGACAAGCCCAGCCCATATGACAATTCTCTCGAGCCAAAGTAATGTGGACGAAAATTCTAACGTGAAGCATAATGTTAGGTATTACACTAGTAAGATAGGAAAATAAAGACGAGAGTTTGATGATTCACCATAGATGGATTTGAAGAGTGATTTTTTGGAGGGTTTTAGGTTGTGTTTTCTGCAGAGAATTTGATAAAAGTTGATGAAGCGATTTCAGTTGGCGGTGGTTATATTCATGTACCGGTTCGTATGCTGTCATGAATCTTTGGTTTATTGGTTTAAGTGGTAGGTATGAGGTGATGATAGGATTTTGGTTTTTTTTTTTTTTAATTGTGCTTATATATATGAATTGATAAAAGAGTTTGAAATAATTTTAATATTGGAAAATAGTTGGCAAAATCAATTGGATAAAGGAAGTCACATATGCAAAACATTGACTAAAACTGATGATATATTAAAGAAAAATTCTAGATACTCTGAAACAATCTTTCGAAACTTATTCTAAATCTTTAAAATAATAATTTAAATTATAAAATATTAAATAATTATTTTATAACAAATTTATTAAAAAGTATGAATATTTTAAAACTTTGGATGTTATTTCAATTGTTTTTTTTTAATGTATAGTAACTCTCTATATTTTATAAGTGACTGAACAAATCATTACAACTTAGAAACTAACATAAGTCTTAAACATGGTGAAATCAATAAAAATATAAAATTCTAACTACAATCTTAATGTCACATTTTATGAAAGTTGGATCATCACTTAACATAAGGTCTAAGAAGAAAGATGGAACTCCATATATCACATACACATAATCCAAGAGGGTGAGGACTTCTCCCTTAAACACCGGCAAGTAGCCAATGGTGGAGCTTAAAGGAAAAAAAATTGGGGAAGCCAAAAAGTATTTGAAATTCAGTTTTAATTTCTTGAATTTATTTTAAGCTACTTTCATCGGATTTGTCTCCTCTAAAATGAGGAAATTTCACTTTATAGAATAAAGGACAATAATAATTATTAATTAAAAAATCAACAATGGATAATATATTTAATTTTAAATTTTATTATAAGTGTATTTTATTTTATCACAATTCCTTATAATTGATTTTTTAATCAATAATTATTATTGTACTTTATCCTTTAAAATGCACTTTTCATTTTAAAGGAGTCAAATCCATTTTTATCTCTCTAATTTGAAAGTGTATTACTTTTAGTCCTCAAAATGATTTAAATACACTTAAAAATAGTTATAAAGTGTTATAAACTACTTTAAGGATTAAAAGTGGTTCATTTCAAAAATAGAGGCCAAAAGTAGAACAAAAAAAATTAAGGGATTAAAAATAAAATTAAAATTTATAGAGACCAAAAATATATTTTGCCCTTATATTTATCATATAGAAATCAATTGAGATCATGATATCCTTGTACTACTTAATAATTTATTGGCCACATGACATTAAAATTATATTTACCATTTGTGTAATTAAATGACTATGTTGTTCCAGAAATTATTCATGTGCAACAAGTTGTTCCAGAAGAGCAAAATTTTTCTCCTCAGTAACCTATGTCATTAAGGAAATTTACTAGAGAAAGGAGAAGTGCAATACCAAATGACTGTGTTGTATTTCTCCAAGAACATGAGATTGGAATTGGATTGATGGAAGATGATCCAATAAACTTTTGTTAAGCCATAGAAAGTTTTAATTCTCAAAAGTGGATTGATGCTATAAATGATCTAATTTCTTTTTGAAAGATAATAAAAAAATTAATCACATATATGAATTTTTTATATATATAATAATATTTGCATTTCATAAAATTAAACTATTTTAAAAAATTGATAACTTGTAGTTAAAATTATTTAAATACAAAATTCAACAAAAGAAATAACCAAATAAAAATGTTACCTTATAATTAAGAAGGATAAAATTATGTTATTTCATTTCATTCAAAAAAATAAAAAGGTGTTATCAAATATCGTTAAACGTATAGAAACAAAATAAATTTTAATAATATTATTAAAATTGACGAGTAAAGTATCCATCAAATATAATTAACAATGAAGCTAAAGTAGATAATTATTATCATCAATAAATAACAATCAACAATTACTATCAATGTATAAAGAAAAATAACTATACACCAAACTAAAGTAAACAATTACTTGAATAATGTTAAATATATATAACGTGTACAAAGAAAACTAGATCTATCAAAGAGACTCTAGACATGTAGATGCCCAATGTGTCTGAAATTCCTTCAACTCTTCGATGGTGAATGAAGTTGAATTTTTGAATACTAATAATTTTAAAATAGAGATAAGTTAAATATTAGTCAATGATTAAACAATTAAATAATCAATTAAAGTAAGTAAATTAATTTATATATGTATTACCTATCTTCATGAGTCCCTAATGTTGTTAGTGAAAATGGTGAGTAGGTGTTTCATAATGTAATAACTACACTCATGATTTCTTGGTTGATGTGAGTACAAGTTTCATGATACTCGTCCTTGTTCTAGCGGTTCAAATCCATCCCCGTATCCGTTGGATATGTAATTTTTGTCTCATTCCTGTCCTTGTCGGGTATTTGATATACCCGTACACGTACCCGTAAAAAATAAATAATTTTTTTTACAAAAAGATCACACAATATTTTTAGCTTATCTTTTCATTATATTACAATTGTAATTAAGTTGTTTGTCTATCTAATATTTTAATCAAGAGACTTCTTAATAATTAAAAAATTACAAATGTTTCACATCATAATAAACAATCACACATAATTAAATATTAAAATTCTTTAAAATAGTCAAATCAGGGACGAGTATTAAACCGAGGATGGGGACAGGGACGGGGCGAGTAAGTATATACCCGTCTCCGCCCCCATCCCCGGTTTAATATTTCAAGTTTTACCCATACCTGTACCTGTACCCATACCCGATCAAATCTAGTATTCCCAGTCAAAATCGAGACAGGTTCGAGTATTATCCACGGGTACGGGTTTATTTACCATCCCTAGTGGGTACTACAATTTAAATATTTACAATTAGAATGTAGTTGAATTTATAATTAAGTATTATGTTGACATTTGACTTACTTTTAGAGTAATATATTGAAGTTTCTTCCAAGCTACTAGAGGAAACCCCTGCAAGATCAAGCTTGCACCCAAACACCTATGATAATGAATGATAAATCAAAAATAATTAATGAATAAAATTAATCTTTTGTTTAATACAATTATATATAGAATATATATATATATATATATATATATATATATATATTTAAATTAGATACTTATGCGTCAATAGGGTGTCTAATAAGTAACTCAATAGTTTTCTTATGTAATGAATACAAGAGAACCACTAAATGGCAACCAGGTCAATGAATCTAAAATAAAAAATCATTTTGAATCTTGACACATATGTGATGAAGAGACTTTAAATTGTGAAAATAAACATAATGTTAGGAAATTATAATTGAATATATTAGAGTAAAAATCATTACAATTAATACTTATAACATTCATAGTTGCATCAATGATATGGAAAAGAGGCCATGACCATAAATGATGTCCATGACATCACGGTAGCATAAGAATAAAGGGAAAGGCTCCTTCTTGCCAACAACCTCAAGAGATATAGTTATCTTATGCCACACTTCTCGAGATCCAGTGATACCACAACCAAACATTAGAAAGGAGAAAAGTAAGTAAGTGTTTCATTTGTAGTAGCAACAATTTTCCCCTTTCTAGAATCAACCTAAACATCATAGAATATAAATTATTAAGTTAGTAAAACACAATAACGACATTAATTTAGAGGGTTGTAAATTGAAACATATATTACCTTAAGTCATGTGAACTATGTTTACTACTTAAGTTACCAAATGAATTCATTCCATCTATAACAAGTCCAAGCCTAAGGTTTCTTGGATCATTGCCAAATTAAAACTAAAAATGTGGAATCTATTTTCTCCCATTGCAAAGAATCCCCCAGATGCATCAATTATCCATCTTTCTTCCATTCATCTACATGTCTTATAATGTTTTTGGCATCATGGATGGTAGTAATTAATTGCTTCAATCTTGGAACAATAGGAAGATACCACAACACCTTCGTAGGAAGACCCTTGCTCACCTTACATTCAAAGTCACCTTCCTTCAATTTGTATCATGATATCCCACACTGTGGACACTCATGCAAGTTATCAAACTCTTTTCTGTACAAAATGCAATTGTTCAGACATGCATGGATTTTATTTTATATTTCATACCCATCAGACACAATATCTTATTTTCATTATAATTACGTGTCAACAATGTGTTACCTTTGGGAAGCATGTCCCATAACAACTCGAGTAATTTTTTTGAAGTTTTTATCACTCCATCCATTTTTTACCTAAAGATTGAACAATCTTAACACTACGAACAACTATGTAAAATTAGCGCAATCTGGATACAAAGGTTTCTCTACATCACTATAGAAATTATCATGCACATGTGCATGTTTGAAATGATCAACCCTAATATCACAAATCATGTCTTCCAATCAATCTTCCATCTCTAAATTGACATGTTCTTCTTTTATTTGAGACACTTGTACACGTTGCATGTCTAACAATTCACCATGCCATGTTTATACTATGTAACTACTAAGGAATCCATCACATAAAACATGATTTCATATAATCTCTATCGAACACCTTTGCAAATTGAAATAATTCACACAAGAATAATAGAACCTTGCATTATTGTCTGTAACATTCCTTTGTACAATCTAAAGAAACTCTTTCACTTCATTCTCATATTTAACAATTGTGCATAAAAAGTTCATCCACCTTCGATCCATTAGTATGTTTGTCTAACATAAACTACGTAAACCTCACTTTTTAATACAAGATGTGGCCCTACCCATTCAAAAAGATAATTCTTTATACTTGATTAATATATAAAAGCCAAGTCCTACACATTAAATTTGACAAAATTTTGGCAGCATTTCACTTTGATCTTTAAGTACACAAAATGAAAAGTGTTGACGTCAAATTCACCATAATCAAGTATGCACCTAGAGAACAACAAGAAATACAATCAATTGAAATCTTAACAAATTTAAAATGAGACTTAACCTCTTTTTAAATATATTAATCAACTATAAAAATACATATCTTTCCAAACTTTCCAAACAGACAATTCAATATTCAATACAATGAGTATACATTAATTGTGTATGCATTATGTATAATCTCAAATGTGAAATTAAGATTCATTCACAATCGATCAATCCTAACAACTATAATATAAGACATTTAGATAACTAAACATATAAATCATATATGTTTAGTTAAAACTCATAAAATTACCAAATAATAAACACGTCTAATTATAAGCATGTGAAGAGTATAAAAATTTAATTAGTAATATTTAAAATATTTATTTAATTATTACTAACTTTTAATGTAATAAAAATATATCTTAATTATAAATTTTAATTTTTAATATATATCTTCTAATCTTATAAATTTAGTTATTCTAGATCTCCTAAATTTAATTTATATTTGAATAAAATTTGTAATTTAAATTTTAATTGTGTGACTAATAATTTGTATATTATTTAAATTTTTTAACTTAAAATTATTAATTATGATAAAGGTATAAAATTATGGATACCTAAAATATATCTAAATTAATGTCCAATATTCTACAATGAGACCTAAGAAAAGTCTTAGTTTATAGATGCCTAAAATAGTGCTGAAGTATACAATTTTGAAAAATATTTGTAAGTTATATAAAAATTATTAATGTTGATAGTTGTATTGGATAAATGTTCAAAGGCAAATTTGACTAGAATAATCTGTCACAAAATAACTCTCATACCTACTCTGAATCAACTTCCAAATGACTCATAAAAGCCCCTAAAACCCCATAACCACTCAAAACCAACCCCAAATAGCCATTATAAATTACACCCAAAAACCAATAGCCTGCAAAACTAGCAAACCCCCAAACTAGCTACAAATAAGCACTTAAAACCAACCCCAAAATAACCACTCAAAACTAGACCTAAAAGCCCTAAAAATTCATCCCTAAATTCTTTGACACATTTTGTCAAAACAGTTTATGTGCAAACAACAAAAACCACATAAAGAAAAGAATTATAAACCATACCAACCCACAAAACAAAAAATCAAACTCAATAGTGCAAACTGCAAACCAATCAGGTAGGCATAGTATAATGAACCTAAATGAAGGGGAAAAAAGATATACTTAGGATAAGATTCAGACCTGGGAGTGCGAAAATCTATTAGGAAAATTGAAGAAGAATGACTCACTAAAGTTCGTTGTACATCATCAAAGTATTATGACTATGTCGGGAAGGGGGTGAAAACCTTGTTAGAGACTTTGATAGATTTGTTCATCGCACTTAGAACAGAAAATAATATTTTTATGAAATTGATAGTGCATTTTGGAAAGCAACTTTGTATGCATTTATTTGGCCTTTTTTGACATTTGTATGTGTCTTATATTCATGTTTTGACTTAGATTTATAATAGTGGTATTATTTGATGATTGTTGTAATGTTTACTCAATTTTTGAATTTTTACCCACTTTTACACTCTGTACTTGTGTAGACCATATATGGAGCTCTCGATATCAAATTTGGATGTTCTTGGTGTCTATGGAAAGATAAAATAGGGTTCTACAACTTCTCTATTGGGAGAAAAAGCCATTTCATTTGTTAAGGGATCCAAAAATGTGTTGCAAGGTTGCGGCCCTATGTAGTATATTTTGTTTATTTTTATATTGTAATGTTATGATTTGTTTAGTGATGTAATTAGTTGATTTAATGGGCTAAGCCTTTAATTACTCAGATTAGGCCCACTATATTTCTCTATTAATAGGTGTTGTGAGACTTGTTGTGTACACTTTACACTCATTTTTTAGATTCTAGATTTTTTACTGTAGAAGCTTCTCTCATTTTTCTCTCAACTCTTTTTTTCTCTCTCACAAATTCCTCCCTATTTTGGCCAAGACTCTTCATCTTCTCTCCAAACAGATTTGTGCATGGACAATGATGGAGATGCGTGGCTAAGTTCTCTTAATCGATTCAAGTTTTTGATTATGTGGTAAAATCCTCTCAAATCTGAATTCCTCTATTCTCTTCTTTTCTGTTCTTCAATTAAATTTGAATTAAATTCATGATTATGGATTTCATTTTTTATTAATTGAAGAAAAAAATTAATTCAAATTAATTTTAGAACACCGAATTGGATTCAATTTGGATTAGAATAATACAAAACAGATTTGTCTTTGTAGGATTTTCATAGAGCACGATTGTGTTCTTCATTCTTTAATTTGGATTAAATATTAAATGTTGAAATTCAAATTATATTTTTTTACTACAATAATTAGAACTTAAATCGATGTTTTATCTTATTGGATTTTCAAACTCATGATTCTGTAGAGTTTAAATTTCAGTTTATAATTATTGTCCATAAAGTGTTTGATAAAAAATCTCCCTCTCTAATTCTTGATAAAATTCAAGTTCTAGTGAATTGTATCCCCTGTGGAGATGACCTAGGTTATTCCCTATACTCCAAATAATTTTCTAAGGGGAAACCTAGTTTTATTTGATAGCATTCGACATCATTATCAAATAGTGGTAGCACATTTTGTTTCTCGCTTTGACCCTAATAAAGGACATTATATATCTTGTGTTTCTTTATGTGACATAGAATGTTTAAGAAAAAGTCAAATGTTGGCTCAATCCAACACATTTTGTGCCAGATGTTGTGTCATCTAATACAGAATGTTTAAGGAAAGGCCAAATGTTGACTCGGCCTGCCAATTTTAATGTCGGGTGTTGTGCCACCCAATATAGCATGTGCTTTCTATGATGGTCATATTTACACTTGATATAGAAATATTGACAAATATTACAAGTTTATCATTGTACCACATTCTATGTCATGTGAATTATGCCTAACGTAGAATCTCAATCATTAAAACATTGTTTTGCACTAGTGATAGCGAGAGAGAAAGGAATAGAAAGAGAGAGAGAAAGACGGAGAGAGAGATACTTTGAAAAGATAAAATTCAACTATATATTTTCTATTTTAAAAAAAGGATATTATAATTTTTTTTATATAATTAAAACTTTCTCTCTTAAGTCAAGAAAGTTGAGTTCCAAACCCCCTCATAAAAATGTTTTTGTGGGAAAGTGGGATAAAAATGGTTTCCAAGAAATAATATTTCCAGGTAATTTCTTTAAAAAAAAAATACATACCAAACATGGGAAACCAATATTCTCAATCTAAGATTTCCAGAAAACTAAAAAATTCTCGCTACCAAATGATCTCTAAAGTTAATGTTACAGAAATTGAGCACGAGTTAAAGGAAGGATGCACAAGAATCTTAAAATTTTATGTTTTGGAAGAAAAATTATAATTATAAAATTTTAGTCAATTTTGAATGGAAGAAGGAGATGCATGTGAAAGGGTTGTAGGTGCTTGGAGAAAAATTAAATGTTGGAGGCAATGGGAAGGAAGGGAGCGGGTGTGAAAATAAGGGTGAGTGTTTGAAAAAAAAAATTTGAACCTTAAAGGAAAGGAACCTTCATAAAGTTGAGAGATTAGAAAATATAAAAAAAATATTATTATATATAAAAAGTATAATGAAAATTTATTATTAATATAAGGATATATATATATATATATATATATATATATATAAAAGGAGGGACCTATTTATTTTAGGAGAAAGTTTTCCTACACTTATTTTACTCAATAAC